ACCCCTTATTTTTATTGCTAGAGAATTGTTGCATAAATATTCATAGATAATAGAGATAATTTAGATGAAAATAAAAGGAGCGAATCAATGTGCAAGGCCCAGCCAATGCAGTCCCGGCATGAACTAATAAATGCAGTCAAACAGAGAAATTATTCCTATGACTTAAACCTTAGTCAAAAAAGTGAACCCTATCTTTGTGTCAAGATTCGTCCTCAAAAGATTATAAATGGAGTTATCCATATCTTAGTTGCAACTTGCAAGTTACTGTCATGGACAATGTGTATGAGGGCATTGTAATAATTTAATGTTTTGGATTATTATATAGTGGGTCCACTATTATATAGTCAGTGGACTATCACCATTTTTCACTCCATTGTCTTTCATGTTCTCCTGTATTTTGATTTTCAGGGTGCTAATAAAAAACGATGCTTGTATTATCCGAGATCTTCGACTGGTTGCTTATTTTAGACAATGCCTGCCAAGAGAGTTGGACATCTCAACTTACAAGGAGCTTGCTGATTGTTTGGCTTCTATTACTCCTTATGAAGTCCCTCTCTCAAGAATAAAAGTGAAGCATCTCCACCAGCAGGTTAGGAATGACTAAGTGTTCTATAATCTCAATGATCATATTGTAAATATGGTTTTTATTCTTGGAGTTGCTTAAATTTCTTGAAGTCTTGGTTAAGCTTGGCCCACATACAACATGAAACCTAATGGTGTTTTATAATTAACTTATCATGATTCTACAATGAGTAATAGAAGCTTCTTCACTTTGAGTCAATGATTATTCTCGTTGTTTAAATCTTGACAATTAATATCCCAGTTGATGTTTTGTTACTCCCTCATCAGTTTGGCAAAGTAAGTTAATTTGAAGCCCATACAAATACTCTACGTATCTGTGTTTAATTTAGTAAGAGGGTGATCCTTGTTGTCATAGTAAGGTTGCTTCTTTGCACGTTAGGTTATCAGGATTCACGTCATGGATATAGGCTCCCTGCTTTCATAGGTATGATTGTGTACATTAATTTTCCAAACTTCCATGTTGCTTAGTCTTTTGCATTGGGCATTCTAGCTGTTTTTGGCTTAGTGGACAGTTTGTTTTAATAAATATGTCAGTTTCTGTAAACTTATGGCCAGCAATTTGCCTGCATACTACAGGCAAGTCCAGGATGTCCTGTAAAAATAAATGAATTACCTTAAAGAGTTGGCACCATCTGAGTTTGCCATTTGAACTATGTTACTGCTCAAAGCCATGAAAGAGTTACATCCAGGCAAAAGGAAAGTTTGTGACGGGAAACATAGATTAGGTTATAAAGTTAAATACAAAAGGTTCCTCAAGAAACAGGAAACCTAAATTAGATTTCAGGAAATCGACTAACTATCAACATTCTTCACTCAGGCAATTTAATCTTTAAGGCATTCCTGTCTCACTATTTTGTGGAGACCTTTGTTGTTGCTCATGCTGGACATGCATTGTCAAGTGTTAACTAGGTGATACGGAGGATATGTAGGTACTTTTACCAATCCTTGATATCTTGAGAAATGCTCAACATCTTATATCATACTAAGAGTCAAGGTTTTTAAAATTGTATCGTACTGGTGTACTGAGCGGTATGCCTAAGATACATGTTAAATCCTTCGATTCTTCTGAAAATATCTGAAAAATAGAAAAAAAAAAAAAGTTAGGATAGAGTTTTTAAGTTAGAAATAAATATACATTTGATATAGTTTTAACAAATCGTTGCTTTGTTGAGTTTAGAAGAGTGAAAAATGTGAGAATAAGAAAGAGAATGTGAAAAAAAAAGAGTTTGAGAGAGTTCAAAAGAGTAAGAGAATGAAATGGAGTGAAATAGGGGTGAGGAAAGAGTTTAAAAACCCTTGAGAGAAGGCTCCAACGGTCAAATTGACCATTGAAGCACTATTACAGCTCGTAACCATCAAAATTTCAACCATTACCACTCGGTACAGCCCCTTATCGGGATACTGCTTGGTAGCGGGTGGTATGATACGAATTTGAAAACATTGCTAAGAGTTTAAAACTATGATATTTAGCTCCACACAAATGCATTTCTTTTGTTTTTAGCACTTCATTTATCCTTATTCTCTTTAGTGTTTATATGTTAGGTTCCAAGTAGTGAAGTGAACCACAGCTTGAATGCTACCATTGTTGGTCTGGCAGTTCGTTCATGTGTGCCTCCCTCATCTGAGCATTGCACACCTTGGTGTGTTGGACTTGGTAAGTTCACTTATTTTTTCTACTTATGACCATTTCACACCTAAGTAATACGTTTGTTTCTACAGTTGTCTCAGAAGATGAGTGAACATTATATGCATTGATATGACCAATAACTGGGTTGGCCTTTTAAGAAATTATCTATTCATGAACCAAATACAACTTCAACACTGATTTGTAACTGTTTTATAGTCTACTTTGAAGTCTTATCACACTTAGCATCACAACTATCAAAAGGCACTTGTAGTCATAGAAAGATGATGCTGATGTCTATGCTTCTTTTTCTTTATTTAGTCATATATTGGTTCTTTCATATATGAGTAAAATTGCTCATCCGGGTAGGAAGAATGGCCCCTGCATTAAATTTACTGAATTTGGGTGCTCAATGCAGAAAAATGTCTCATGTAGGTCAGGTGTCTTACTTGGTTTTACCTGCATATGGCTCCTAGATCTATCAAAATACTGAAATTATATATGCATTTAAGCAAATGTATGCATTTGAGATTTTTGCTTGCAGTGCATGTGTATGTGTATAATCTCGTTATTTGTATTCATTTAATATATATTTACTGATTGCTATGCAGATATGCAGGAGCATTGTATATGTATGTAATGTTATGCATCTCTATTTTATGGATAGTTTATATTTGTTAATTGCTATGTGGTATGCCCATTGCCAGGTACTTGTGATTATCTCACTATAAGTATATTATCCATATAAAAACTCCTAAATTGGCTAAAGTTTGTCGCTACTTTTATTTCAAATTTTTAGGTAGCAATAACGTTCAAAAAATGTATTTTCTATTTATCTAACTATTTACCTATCTAACATTTAGTTGAAGGTTTGAAAATTTATAATCACCTAATTTGTAGTCATTTAAGACTGAATGGCATGCATATCATGTTTATACTTGACCATATAGAAGGCTGGGTTTATTTTAGTTCTCGGAATATAATCTCTAGTTATTAATTGAAACTTTGTGAATCCACTAATTTTGTAATTGCATGACTGACCTATGAGCATGTCTGTATAGAATGTAATTATTATTAATTCACTACAATCTTCTAACTATTCTTAAGGTAGCATTATTCTTGATTATGCCTAGCTGCCCATTAACTGTGTAATCCTTTAAATATTTGATAAGCAATAGATGAAGACTGCATTTCAAATTTGCACTGACGTAAGTATTTTTTTATAAAATTATATTTCAAAAGTTTATTAAATATTATGTGATAAATTTACCATTCAAGTAAATAAATGAATGTATGTATGTAATCTTTAAAAAAATCGTATGGCTTAGATATATAATAAATAAATAAATATAATCATATAAATGAATGTAAAATAATTTTTGAAAATAAATAAATAAAATTTCAACTTACAAAAGACATAGTAGCATTCTAACCATATGGAATTTGAAAAAAATTTATCAAACATCGGTTCATATTTAAAATATATATCGAGTCAATACACATTTTAGATGTGTTTCTAAACACACCCTTAGAATTAGAACTATTAAAGGAATTTTGACTTCCATGATTTGGGCATAATGTTTTGGATGAAATAATGGATATCTCATTAGTTTAGAACTCTAGAATCTTTCCATTTTAACAAGATGATATGCTTGACTAAAGGAAAAAAAAAAAAAAGGGAAAAATGGGTAAAGACTAGGTTTATCTCATTGAAATCTATGGTATTCATATGCACAGAAAACGTTTTTGTAAGTAATTCTACATTCTAACTATTTCTTACTATTGTTAGTTTTTATTGGTTTTGAAATGTGAATTCTGCAATTTCTGTTTAAATTATACTTTCTTTAAGTTGAATTCAAGAGTTATTACACCTTTCAGGGATAATAAGAGCAATAGATATTTCAAAAGATCGATTATATGTGATTACACCTGTCTCTCCCTGCGAGCTGGAGAATGTTGATATCCTTTTACGAGGCTGCCTTGAAACTCCTGCTTGTCTTTTGCAGGTGAGTACCATTGGTGATGACTTTTTATTATACTAGAACATGTTCTCAAAGAGACTGTATGCTCAGTACCTGAAAATGGCCTCTGTTTTTTCTTTTGCCTGGCATTTATCTTGTATGTGGTCAGTACATCCAATGGACGTCCAGCAAAAAGTTGAGCGGCTGGTAATCAGTACATCCAATGGATAATCTCTTCTGACCAGTTGTCCCAGCAGCTGCGCAAGCATCACCCCATGCCTTGGAATAGAAATCTGCACTCCATATATGACTGCTGAAGAAGAATATTGGTTTATTAAAGCTTATTGCCAAAAAGGAAGAGAAAAAGGCTTATGCTCTTTATCAAAGAAACTCTTCCAACTTATTTTTTATGCAAAGTGGGTACCGCTCAACTCGGATGCGTGAACGTGAATGAACGTGCGATAATTTGACCCTCTGCTATGTCTGTATTGTGGCTGATATAACGAGATGGAGCTTTTTCAAACCTTGTAAACCTGTCACCGTAAGTGCCGAGTAAGATACAAGTACCCTTCCCAGTGTTTTTTACTTTTTTAGGATGATTGTATAAGCATTTTTTGTTGAATCTGCAATCGTAAATTTATGTCAGAATTTATGGAACGTAAATTTCTGATCTCATCTGAATGTGAACAAACCTTGCAAAGAAATCTCTCTAGATGTAGTCTGAAAGAAACAAACTGATCAGGTGGATCAAACACATTCCTGGAAATCAAACATAAAATAGCTCACTTGAAGATCAAGAGAGGGCATCGCTTGTCCTCTAAAACATGCAGGCACAATCAAAAGTGATCTAGCGGATAAATGCGTTCCTCCGATTACAGTATGGACCAGTCATTTTAAGAACTACATTAGCTCAGTTACAATGCCAACACACACATGGCTTAGCTCAAGAAAAATAAAATTACAAGATTCTAGAGAGCCCTAGAAAGATATCGTCGTGTAATATAGAGTACAGCCCCTGTAAGCCCAAAAAAAAAAAAAAAAAACAACATCCATTAAATGTGAAGTCCACGGAACTCACCTTTCTATCCATCGGATCCCGCCTCTGGATCTTCTCCCGCCGATCACATGATCAGGGACTGGGAGGTAGCGAGACGATTATCGTGTAGAATGAGATATCAGGGAAAAGTTCAGAGAGAGATCTGATGTGTCCGGCCGTAAGCGAAGGAGGGAAGGACGGACTTTCTTTCACATACAGCATTTTGATATGTGGAACAGCAGAATACAGCAGCAGCGTTGAAAAGCTTTCCTGAAAAGCTAATTGGAATTAATTGTATAAAATTCACCCAATACGAAAACTAGCTCTCACCGTCATCATCCATTAACCAACTCCCCTCGCCCCCAAAAAAATAATAAAAATAAACACTAAAAAAAGTAGGTCAACGGTGATTGCCACCACTGTTGACGTCTCCTCCTATAAATTAAATTCACAAACTTTCAGGAGGATCACTTAGGTCAAGTTTCTACCTTCAAATAAGGCAACCTTTTTTGCCCTTTTGCCCCCAACAAGAGACGACCACCTTCCGTGTGATATCGATCCTCTGTTCGATCCACCAATCAACGCCGATCCGGAACACTCCCAAATCCAAGTCACACGCGCCGGCGCGCTCCATGCCGTTAACCCTCTCCACCCGCGAATGCATCGTACCCGGGCACAAGAGACACTTCCACCCACACCTAACCACCTCGGCCAACCTTATCCTTCTCCGCTCTCCCAGCGCGTGAACCGCGTTCCACAGGGATCCTTCATGGTCTGTCTTCCTTGGAAAGCTGCCCCCAATCCCCGTACTGCGTTCACACGCCGCAACTCCCTCCCTCACATATAAATCCCACGGTTCTTGTTCCTACCCACCGTTCATCCTCGGTCTTCGCCTCCGGCCTCGATTGCTTCCTCTTTTCCCATCGGGACCTTCCATTGTCTCCTTTCTTCTACCGGCCCCGGTCATCTATCGATTGACCGATACAACTACTTTCCGTATATGAACAGTTGCCCGGCCGCCGACACCATCCAGCCCGTCCTCGACGACTTCTCGTTCTACATCTCCTTCTTCCAGGACTCTTCCGCCACCGCATCCCCTTCGCCCCCGCCGTCGTCCTCCGACATGCCCAAGGGCCGCCGGAGACGCGATACCGGCGCAGCCACCGCTGGAAACGAGAGGAGGAGGAAACGGAGGAAGATCGCCAATCTGCTGACCTCCATTGCGTCGATCGACGTGCAGCATGAGTCCCAGCGGCGCGAGTCTGACGACGACTGGGAGCTCTCACTCGAGGAGAACCACCACCAAAAGGCCGAGGCTGTACTCGACCATTACTGCCGCCTCGAGGAAAGCCTCACCGCCCTCGAAAACGACGCTGGCACCCTTCGCTCCAAACGCATCCGCCTCACCGCCTCTGCTTCGGCGGCCTCCGCTTCAGCCGAGGGCGAGGGCGAGGCCGACGCCGCCAGAGGCATAGGCGGCCACCAGCAACGGAGACTCTGGGTGAAGGATCGGTCGCAAGCGTGGTGGGACCGATGCAACCATCCCGACTTCCCCGAGGCCGAGTTCCGGCTGGCGTTCCGGATGGGCCGTGCCACGTTTGACATGATCTGCGAGAAGCTCGGGTCGGCAGTGGCGAAGGAGGACACGACGCTCCGCGCCGCTATCCCCGTCCGGCAGCGGGTGGCTGTGTGCATCTGGCGGTTGGCCACCGGCGAACCTCTCCGCCTCGTCTCGAAACGGTTCGGGCTCGGCATTTCCACCTGCCACAAGCTTGTCCTCGAGGTCTGCAACGCGATCAAGACTCTACTCATGCCAAGGTTCCTCCAATGGCCCGACGACGACGACGCTACCCAAGCAAAATCCCGCTTCGAGGCACCATCCGGGATCCCCAATGTCATCGGATCCATGTACACCACTCATATCCCCATCATCGCGCCCAAGGTCAGTGTCGCCTCCTACTTCAACCGCCGGCACACGGAGCGCAATCAGAAAACTTCTTATTCCATCACCGTCCAGGGGGTGGTCGACCCTGACGGGGTGTTCACGGACGTTTGCATTGGGTGGCCCGGTTCGATGCATGACGACCAGGTGCTTGAGGAATCGGCTCTTTACAGGAGGGCAGCTACCGGGATACTCAAGAACACTTGGATTGTCGGGAGCTCGGGTTATCCTCTGATGGAC